ATAAAAACAGTCAGGGCCAATAAGCTAATAATTGGCATAGTCAAAATATGACTTTGGAGTGATGAATAGATTGGTTTATTCAGAAACTGGAGTGGCCAGTGAATGCAGAAGTGTATTCGCGAGCGTGAATACACTAAATCGGAACTAAAACCCAAAGATTGTATTATTATTTTTTGACATTGATTTTAAATCCGGTAATTACAATCCTAAACATTAAGAGAATTAGTGAAAAGAGTAAATTACAACAAAAACTGATTAAAAATAAGTTTACGTTAACTATCTCTTCCACAGTACATCTAGCTTTCAATACTTGTCGCTATTATCTATCACTTTTTTTAGGTTCGATTCTGTTGTCATACAATTGTGTGACGACTAATGTCAGACTTAAATTTGCTCTCAGACAGAAATTTCAAACCAAAGTTTTCCAACATCTCAAGTCCACTTGGCCCAAAACGTTCTGTTTGTTTGTTCCACGTCATCGCGACTGAAGATTGAATTTTGATATTATTACAACAATCCAAAAGTTATCATAAGTTAATGTGCTCTTACGACCGGGTAGAATGTTGTTTCGCGAATTTTTATTACCGATTGATACTATTTTGATTTTAACAATTTTTCTTCAACCGCACATTCATTCTATACTTTACAAAAGTTCGGACGTTCATTTTAATTGCTCAAGCTTATTTCACCGAACTGTTTACGAAAGCTATTTGCTTTCAGAAGGCGATGGACTTATTTTAAGTTGCAATGTATGTTCCGAATGCTTCAAAGGTAAAGAAATGTGCGAGCTTGGCGTTGTCAAAAGTGGTTTGTTGATCCCGAGGGTGGAAACAACTAGTATTCAAAGTCATTATGCCAGTGATACTAATTTATTTGTACCTCCGTATCCTACCTCATTGGAACGTATTCGTCTACGGTATGTACTCTTAACTTCATACTTTTTATTTCGATTACAAATTGAGAAGTCATTTCCGGTTGCGGCAGTGTTTTTATTCTATAAAATAATATGTAAATTGGTATTTCATACAAACCTAGCAAACAAATAAAATATCCAGGATGTTGTTTAAGAGAGTATATAATGTGACGCCTGACCTTTAGTAAGTTTATGTTCGAACTAGAGGCATGTTGTGTGCTCAGGCAGGGGGTGTAACTGTGTGTGTTAGAGAGTTCGTAACAGAGTAAAACGAGAGGAAATGTGACAAAACGACTGACTAAGCACACGAAATGGGTGTGCATCTAATGATGAAAGGAATGGGCGATAAACAGAAATAAGTCAAACATGAAATCAAGGCAGTCTGATAATCAAGTCTAAGAGTTGACAGAGTAAGGTATCACATGGGTTAATAAGCTCTTCCGTGTAAGGAATTACTGTTACAGTTCTTGTAAAACTTGACCGTTGTTCTGGCCAGAGATAATGTGTTCAGAGCTAGTGATTTGTGGATTCTGGCACGGGTTCTGTGTAACCCATTCCGATCTGACCGTGAGCGGACCTCAATGAAAATGTAACGTATGATAAAAATCAATATACATCTGTGAGCTTGTGCTGAGACATCAGTTTTGTTTAGCACTAACTACGCTATTCGGAGGGTGGCCCCAACAAATAACGAGTGGCTCAAAACTATCTCCTGAAAAATTCTATTACTCGCTTGTCTCATTGTTGGAAACGAAGTGCCGGTTGAACTTGTATTAAGAAACAAAGTTAGGTGAAAAAAGTACAGACATTAACTCTACCTATCTCTTTGTTGTGAGACTTGAACTCACAAACCAGGTATGCCTTTTATGACGTACAATAATTAAAGGTGGTGTAGACTCGAATAACTTAAGATTTTTGGATTGAATATTATTTTCAATGACTCGTTATTTACACTTACAATGGGTGAATTATACACAAATTAGAAAGTAGCTTAGAATATTTACACTAAGATCAAACAATATTACAAGAGGTGCACATTTATACTTTTGAAACCATCTTACATTAATCGAAACAGTGATTCGACTCGGATGACTTATCATTCCTCCCCAAAATAAAATTATTCTAAATACGATCTTTCGCTTTATTAGTTAAGTTCCTCTTTTGTTGCTTACGAATGTTAAGACCTTGCCTGATGCTCTGTGACATTGTCTTAAATAGCTTGTGGGTATCCGTTAACTCCAAAAGTTTAGAACATTTGACTGGTTCAATGAATTTTTATCATTGTCTATCATTATGGATAAGGTATGGTACAATATTTTTGAAACTTCATTGTTACATATATCTATTCGAACTTCAAGTTTCATTGGTAAAGAAAATAACGGGGCCTCGTGATTACTTTTTGAAATAATAATGAGGAGGATGAGGGTAGGATAGCAATCCAAAGAGTTTCAACATAATCTAACTTCATACACGGTTGCCATCAGTCCATCCATAAAACTGACTGGGACAATTTTTACGCTTCCTGCGATAGTTTACCTCAAACTACTTATAAATTAGATGACCAAACCATATTAGTAATGTTTGATTAAAGAAAATGTTTGATTCAAACTTAACCGTGGTAAAATTTCGTGCGATAAAGTTTTATAGGTCAGTGTAAAAACCAGTGTTTTGCTAGCATGCATATATATTTGCGTATCCTCTGATTCTAGCAACGGTTTCAAGTTAGTGTGCTAGAAGTTAACCGAGATCGTATCACCAGTATTTGAGCATACTTTTGTATTTTGGGAGCCATAGCAACTATATGATACCTCTACATCTTCCTGTTACTGCTGTGCGCTTTTCCGTATATCAATGAATAAACAAGTTACCACAAAATAATAAGAATGTGTCGCGTACCATTACGTACTATTTGTGGTTTTTTACATTAATAAATTCATCTTCAAATGTCTTATTTCATAAAAAGCTACCTTGTAAGGCAGAGTAACATACGGGCGTCACGCTAATTAACGATACATACGTTTTAAAATATCCTAAGACTTGTCTTTATCGTTGTTAGGAAGGTACTGCGTGTTGTAACTAAGAGGAACTAATAATTCCACAACATAATTCAAAACTATCTAGTGTCACACTACACACATATTTTATATAATCCTTATTTGTTCAAACTGATGTAGGCGACTGTTATAAATTTGCTTATTTTGCCAGGTTACGCAAACGAATTTGGCAGAACATCTCTTCGCTTTCAAGTGCTCTTCCTCTGCTATATGATGATGGTCACTTGAAAGCAGAAGTTACCACAGAGGCTAACTTAAAAGCACGAAATTTGTCATCATTGTATTTTACGGTTACCAAGCCTGGTCAACCGACAAGCGTGATAAAAACAAGTACAACAAGTACTCATCTTAGTGAAACTATCCTTCGCATAAAAAATGCAAAATTTGAGCACGCAGGAATCTACAGGTGCATTTTCAAAGGAGAAGTAATTAGAGCATGGTCTGTAACAGTGTTAAAACCTGGAGACGAACCATTTCGAAATCTGTTTTCACGGCTGAAAATTATCCAAGAGAAACCGGAACTAATTTCAGGAAATACATCTAATGATGATGATGACGACTTAAAATCCTTAGTTACACAACATTTGATCAAAAATAACTTGAAACTACATACATACTGGAATTCATGGTCAGAGTGTGTGCCATGCACCCCAAAAGAAAACTCTTCATTTACTAAAAGTGGCATGCAAATAAGAATTGGTATTTGTCACGTCACACCCATTGATCGATTCCACTCAATCAGACCACATATGTTGGCTGTTGAAACTGAAGAAGTTTTAAAACTGTTCAGTGGACCAGGTTTGCCTTGCCGTTCTCACTTAATTAGGAGTTCAATGTTGAAATACGGACCAAAGGAAATTAAGTTGAGACCAAGTGAACTAATCATAAGATCATGTATAAGGGAATGTCCAGGTTTTAAGTAAGTGCGCTTCAAATGTAAATAAAACTTGAAATATGTGACTGATTTCATTGGTTGGTTATGTATTTTACAAAAGTTTATTTAAAGTCTCGAGTAAGATCCCCAGTGTTTCCGTGGTTAGACCAAAGTATTAAGTAAAATTAAATCCTACATTTACACAGTGCTATATTAAAAAGTTGCACCAATTTTTAAAATACAACTTGAGAGGTATATATAGAATAGGTTTGATACACTAATGTTAAGTAGTTCAAAAACAAAAGAGGAGTATTTATAATGTCGGTATAACTAAGAATGTGTTGATTATTATAACTACAGTGATTCACGATTACATAAAGACTAAGTTGAAAATGAAATCTTCAACGAAACTAGTAAAACATATAGTATTCAAATTCGAACCTAAATATGAGCATTAAGGCTAACAGTGCGACTGTTAATACAATAGGATTGGGATCAAAATTAAGTAGGATAAGAAATGTCCGGTACGGCAGAAGTAAAATATTGTAGAATAAAAAAAGAAGAGTGACAAAATGGCGGAGAAAGGTTATTTATTTATTTAGTTAGTTGTTTATGAAAGTGGTAGAACGTTTCAAATATATGTTAGCTGTCAGGCTACAATAAGTGATACTTTCCCATATCCAAACCCTATTCATTATTTTCTCATGTCGGGTTACACATAAAGTTCATCAGACTTTGATAAAAAAAGACATTATTCTTGCGAATTTAGTTTACAGAGTGAAGTATGTTCTCATCCATTCTGTTCGCTACACACTAACTAGCTTTATGGTATGCTTCATTTATTAGATACTACTACGAAATACTTGTTTTGAGTTTTCCAGTAGATATTCAACTAAAACGTAGTAGGGGGTGAAAGATTGTGTAACGATTTAGAACGATTCAATGGTCTATCCATATTATTTACAATATCTACTTTACACAGTGAAAATTATGTTAACCTATGCATATATTTTTGCTCATTTTAGCAATATTACTACATTGTCCAAATCACCTTTCAATAAACTGTCACGTCTTCCTAAACGAATCGTGATACAAGTAAATGAAGGTGAACCCCTCATAATCACATGCCCAATAAGGAATTCAGTAGAAAAACCAATAACGTGGCTCTATGCACCAGATAGTTTTGATGAGCTAATGAAGTTAATTAAAACTGCATATAATTTCACTACTATTATTCAATATAAAACACCATTACGATATCTAATTACTACATTAAAACAAGTCAATTTTACAACATTAATACGTGAAACACGTGGACGATATAGAATTGATCCAGCTTATAATATTATCGTAGCTGAGACCGTATCATTGAACAAGACACAGTATAAAGAATTACATAGTTTAATATGCATACATGGTGATGCGTACTCGATTCCCAATGGTTCAGATATTTATCCTGATTGGTCAGGTATAATTTATATAGATGTTTTGCCACAAAGTTCTTTAGCAAGGATTTTATCAAAGCTAACACCAGTTATTCAAATAATGATGCCGTTTGTTTTAGCATTAGGTATATTTTTTATGATAATGCTCACTTTGTACACTGAAAGGCGACCAAAAATGCGTTTAGCTGCCAAAGGTTTGGTAGTTAAATAATAATTATAAAGCAACATAACGCCGAATTTTATATGCACCTACAAAGTTGAAAAAGAACATTGAACGAATATGCCAAACTAATAAAAATGTTCATGTTTTAATATAGCTAATAATGTATTCAATTTGTTCACATTGCCAAATATCCTTTATATTGCAACTAATACTTGTACTACATATACTACTCTCACATCTCTCTGTGCTGGTGTGGTATGGTAAACTGACGTACAAATGTGCCAAATTCTACGTCACATCTGACTAAACGACAAATTGTAAGACCTTGATACTACAAACAAATTAAATAATAATGACAAACGACAGGACAACGGGTATATTTAATTACAACCAGCTGATCTCTCGTTTTTCTTCGTTTAGAACTTCTAAAATAATATAAAGCTGATTAAAAAAGTCAAAATAAGATTTCTAAAACTCGTTATTTTATTTTTGTTAGTTTTGCACCCTGACTACCTTAGGAAATATCTCTCTTCGTGTTTTACACTAGACACACGCACCCATATTTACGTGAAACAGTGCACAGAAGATGTCTGATAGCTTATATACAGCTGAATTCAGGATAATCTAACAATACCTCCAATATAATGTAACCCAATATTTTGTGTGGACCGACACCATCTTGAGTAAATATGAAAATCTTTATCGGGTTAGGTGTGAAATCTGCACGAGTGGTTAACAAAACTGTTTCGATGCCTGATCATACATTTTAATCTAGTTTATTCCATGGTCAACGCCAATTGTCGAACAGGTCCTGAATTACTGATCTCTGGAGATCATTCACCCCCCCACGAGAATGTCACTTAAACTGAGAATATTTTAAAATACCATATTCCACAAACGCAAACATAATATTTCAGCTTTCAGTAAATATAAACACAAATGCTAATAATAATACAAAAGGAATGAGGTGATGCAACAACATACTATATATACTATTACGAAAGTTATTATTGTTACAACCATGGAACACAATCCACTTCATTATATACATTACGGAAAACTATGATAAGTACCAGTAATTGCATTTAGTTAAACCATATAGTACAAATATCATTTAACTGTTTGAGAGTCGGAAAAGCTTACTTTTCTAGCAAAAAACTTTAAAACCGGGTTTCAATAGTTTATTTATTTATTTACATTTATTTGAACACATAAATATTGGTACAAGGGGGCACCAGATATACATGCGCTACACAATGACGATGAGAATGGGAAAAGAAAAAGAATGTATGGTCAGTATGAGAGGGAATAAAGGAAAAAAGAGAACAGTAACGACCACAGATTAGTGTATGGTAGTACAATAATTATAATAATGGGGGGAACCGGAGGGTACAACCAGAAAGAATTCTTTCAGTTAAGGAAGTTACGGTCACTTTATGTAGAAAGTAAAAGAAAGTTACAGCGGGATCGGCACTGGCTTTTATTCTGAGCCATATCTGATAACGTCTCCAGCCACTGTGTTACATCATCTCTGAAGTCGATGTTTCAAGATGGTGACACTGATTTGATTATCGTCTCTGCGCCCGAACACACAATGCCGAACCTCTGCATTACTAACATGGTGTTGCCACTGGATATCGACAATCCTTCGGAGACAACGATGATTAAACGCAGAGAGTCGTCTAACATCCTCAACTCGGTGAGACCAGGTGTCACAAGCATAGAGCGAAAATGCTCTCACCGACGCGTTGTAGATCCGGCCTTTTACAGCCAGACTGACATCATGAAGGCGCCAAAGATGGCCCAGATTGGCATAAGCCTCTCTGACATTCACTATACGTGAATCGATTTCATCAACAGTGATACAAATTATAATTTTATCTTCATTAGTATGAATATTTCTGAAGGATAAGGACGTCTTTCCATGTCGATGATTACAAGTTGCACCAGTCTGATTATTTGCGACGAATTCCTAACCATTTCTCAGTACTCGAGCGTCTCATTTCTTAAAACGTGAACGAGAAAGAGAAGGCAAGAAGTATGGAAGGAGTTTACTTTGAAGGTCAGTTTGTGTATCGGAATCGAGGGTATTTATTTGTAACCAAGAGCTTCTAGATCCTAGAGTTGGACGTGCTGAAATCGATGGTGAATTCGACAACTGTCCATCCAAGATAGTAAGAATATTGTTCTTTTGTTCAAGAATCTTCATTTGAGTTTTTGAGTAGCACTGGTTACTTGAGGCTTTTTTCAGCGTCTTCTTGGTTTTTAAGAACTTTTACTAAGGGCTCCAAACACATCTACAGCTTTGTGGAAAAATATGGTTTTTGACTAACCAGCTTTCCCGAATATTACTCACACCCGCACATGGAGAAAACCAATTAAATTGTAAGGGTGAATTTAAGCATATGTAATTGCTACCCAACAATAAATAATTTAAAGAAATTTATAATACTGCCATTATTTATCAACTTAACACAAATTAAAATACTACGAAAAATAGAAAAACAGAACTTGTCTTTCAAAAGTTATTTATTTCCACGAGTGATCATTAGTTAGTTTTAATAGTTTATGAACACTAAACTGGTTCGAGAATAATTTTGGTCGTAGACCGATTATTTTTTTTATATATCTATCGACGACCAGGAAGCATTTAATTTTTTATATAATGGTTTAATACCAAAATTCCAGTTAATTCAACGGTTCATTACCTGACGTCAGTCCAAAATAAATCTTCAGTTTGACCATATTCTGGAACAATAACCAAACTAATTGAGTTGGAAAAAGAAACTAGTCACACATGCTCTAAAAGATGTTAAGTTTATCAATAAGTATAAAGGCTAAAAATCCTAGAGTTTTAGAATGAATTATAAAAGACTCTAGTCGTCAATGTGTAGACAAGTTATATTCACATTGACCAACATACTATGATTAGGTAAACTAAAAAGATTCTCTACATAACATGCATAAAAGAAATCCGGTTGAATACGAGCTACCGGAAGAGAATTGTTTTCTTCATTTTATTTTCTATTCTCATTCATTTGCAGTATGTATTATCTTCAAATTTTTCCGATGAAATAATAAGAAACAAATTTATACCTAGCGTGGGAATAAAAATATAATAATTTTTATTTACATTATCCACATTTTAGAAACAAGCTTTCACAATTATCATAATATGAGAAAAATGATATGTAGTTGTCAACTGTACATGTATAATAAGTAATCAATTGATAAGCTAAAATTCTGCATCTTCATAATACTTTTGTATATCTCGCATTGCTTCAAGCGCAGTTGCATGTTTATTTTCAGTCTCTGTATCCATTGACAAACCGAATACACATACTATAAACCAAAAGAAAAAAAAGTACTGATTGAAAGAAAATCTCGTATGTCAAGTACATTTCTTTTTATATCAAACAAACTGCTTGTCGGGGCAGCTAAAACTAAACAGATTTTTGGACTACTTATTTCCATTTTTACTTGATAGTTTACATATACATATCATAGCAAATAAATCGAATGAACAAAATTTTTATTTGTACGTATAAACATCCCAAACATAGTGAAACTTAAAGAACAGTAGGTTTTCAACAGTGGAATCGCATGTCGTTTCCTCGATAATGGCTACGGTTTCTATATTTCAAATATTTTAAAAATAAGTAATAGCTAAACAACTTCGAATAATTGCACTCTATTGAAAATTATCTTTATAAAAAGGTTTAAATTCAATTTATAAGTTTGGAAACAGATTGCTTTCAATCTTGCTCAGCTATAATTTACCTCGGTTTTAAAAGTCTGTAAGTGATTTCTATTGGTTTAAAAGCAGACAATGGCGCTCAGTCACTTGACATTTATTATATCGGATTTTCCATTTCATGTACATAAAATGGTAGTTTAACTGGTACCAAGTATTTCATTTGTCTTGCTGAAGTGTATATTACTGTCATGTCTCACAAAAAAGGTCAGTGAATAAATGAATCAACAGTAAACCCTGATCTTACCTAACGTTTCCCAATTACTTATATGTAAGCAAACGTAGATAATGAATGTGCATGTGTTACATATTTTTTGATCATCACTATCAATAAGCATTTATGGTCCAATTGGTCGATTAACCATCTCTAACTTTAATTATGTACATAATCTCTTTATTACTGCGTTGTAGCTTTCACTATACATTAACAGAACTTCGAAAACGCATATATATTTGAACTAAATTTTTGGTTGGCGTTTTTTTAGCGAGTTAGTTTTGTACGGGATGGGGTCGCTAACCCCATGCCCAACCCTCCTCCTTTATCTGGGCTTGGGGCCGGCAGTAGCCCCGCAGGGGCTCCAGGCGGAGATTTTAACTAAATTACTAACTAGTAATGAGAATCGGGCAATAAAATGGTTTCTCGTATACTATCAACTAGATTTCGTCGGTAAAATTTCACAGTGATCTATATTATTTGATCAAATAGTAACTGATATTTATCTTCTAGTTATCTACATACTGACAAATACTTTAAGACAAATTAGTAAACCGGTATTTAATCGAGATCTAATTGAACTTAAGGGTATTTATTAGTAAGAAAACACTTATCGGTCCGACTAAAATTATTAGATAATGATTGTGAATATAGGTGTTAATACTGATACAATCCAGAGAAGATCAACATAAGGCATAATTTTTTATCTACATAAATGATACTATAATGATAGTTAGACATCAAAATTTCTAAGTGTTATAACAAAACTCATGTAATAAAAACTTTTATTTTGAATAAAAAGAAATAAGGATAATCATGTATATCCTGGGAATCTAGTGAGAAGCAGTGACTAGTGGAGTTCAACCGTGTCTGTTGTGAGATAGTAACTCACTGATGACAATGGTGGGTGTGTCGCTCAATTTCGTGGATTAGTTGAAGTTAGACATTAACACCGTTGGATGCCGGGCGGCTCATTGGTTTAGAGGTTAATCGTTCTCGTGCAAAACTGATAGGTCCTTAGTTCAAATCTCACGAAGTGGGATCATGGATACGCATTACTGAGGAGTCTCATACTAAGATGAAACGGCCGTCCAGTGCTTCCAGGTTTTCCATCATGGTCTAGCTTCAAATGTCTCCTGATCTCAACTATTGAAATTACTTAAATCTCCACAAAAACCTTTTCTAATTATGAAATTATTATATATTATCAACTTACATGTTTTAGTTAATTCAACAAATAAACTTTTTTTACCAGATTTAGCTGATAACATTTCATTGTTTGCATCAATAACAACAAAACGATCATTTAAAAAATCAATATTTAGTTTTTGTGTACCAATTTTTGCCATAACCAAACGTATAGCACGAACTTGATTTGTACTCAAATTAGTTATACTCTAATATATAAAATAATAATAATAATAATAACGAGGATATCAACTAAAGTGAATCGGTCAAGTTTATGGAAAGTTAATAACTATTTTTAAATTTCGATAGAAATAAAGTTACACTGATAATGAAGAGGATAGAATGTTATCGAAATATCAGATGAAATAGTTCTATAATAAACATTTACATTTTCAACTATATTTAAGTGAAGAAATTTGATATACTAAATCTTTAAAAGGGGTTTCTTTATGTGGATATTATAGTAATTTCAATGGTTAAGATCATAAACTAATTGAAACTAGATCATCATGGAAAACCTGGGGAGCATTGAGTTTGAATCTCGCGAGGCAAGGTCGTAGATGCGCACTGTCGAGGAGTCCCACAATAAGACGAAACGATTGTTCAGTTTTTTTCAGATTCTTCATGGTGGTCTAGCTTTAATTGACTCATGATGTCAACTATTGAAATATACTAAATTATTTATTTTATTAGGTAAGTTTGACATTTCTTAAATTTCTTTTACAAATATTTCACTCTTAAAAAGCAGGGTTAAGAGAAATCTAATTGGGGAGTTGAGAAGTTTAAGTTAATGAGCAGTTTAAGCTTTGTCTCATAGAGTATACCTATTAGAACAGATCAGAGTTAATCAAAATGCTACAGTTATCCAACTAAGGAACATTTGAGTATATTTTGTGAATAAAATGAACTATGTTGTTTCAACTAAAGTATAAATATTCTACAGATTTTCTTCTACTCTATATCTTATATGTGGTGTATAGCAGTTGTAACAGTCAACTTGGAATGCTAATTAATCTTGTAATAATTTGACGAATAAAACAATTCTTTGTTTAGAATTATATAGAAGAATTGATTGTCAAACGGTAACCAGTTGTATACTCTAGTTATTAGTATCCACCAACGTTAAACAAAAGAATTGATAATGCATTAAACTATAACCGTTTCTCAAACTCTGTCCATATAGGTCTTTCTGTGTACTGTTAGCGGCATTTATTGTTCATTACTTTTAAAATTAACTAGAAGTTAGCATTATCTCTTGGGATCCAAGCTTAAATGTTTGAATTCAATCAGTATTTAAACAGAAACCTACTAATAGAGTAAACCACATCATTTTTTAGATTACTGACAGATTAATTAGACCATTTAGTAATCCACATCCAATATTTGTCTAACAGATGTCAGATTAGCACCATACGAAACAAATTTAAATGGTATAGTTGTTTTAATGGAGATTTTGTACATCTGGAAAACGATTTCATCTTCGCGAACTGATATCACCTAAAAAACTGATGAAGATCACCCAGTGATGAACGTTTTACTATTTATCTTTGTGTGTGATTACTCAAAAAGCAACACTTATTACATCATATACAATTAAGTTCAATGCCTGTGTGTTGTCATTAACTCGGTACTATTGATTTACGAAACTGTGATCTAGTGAATCACACGTGAGATCTCAATTAATTTGAAAAGAGCACAATTCTCATTCAATATTTGTTGGACCTATCTGTATATAAATTATGAAACGAGGTGGATTCAGCATAATAAACCAAACACACTCAACTCGATAATGAAATTTAAGGATTGTAAAACTGTACAATATGAATGCATATATTAAGTTTAATTGCTGATAGATAATTCTACATTATTATTTATAGGTCAGTCGTATAATTAGTTGTTTCAGGAATCGTTTTACCTACAGGTTTTCGAAATCTGTTATTCGAAAAACATCGGGGAGATTTTAGATAGTTCCATATTTTTCACTAAAGACCTGTGCAAGATATAAAGTCTTGTGTTATATATCGGAGTATCCATTAGTCGCCATCCTTATTTGCGTTTTTACTTAAGACCAATATTAGTGATACACACTGTAGATCAATTGGCCCTGTACACGAAAACAGATAGCTTACAACATGGACATAATAAATACTCTTCGTTATTTGATAAGAAAAATTGAAAGAAAATTGATCTTGGAATTGACACAGTAACATCCACTTGTCAATGATGATAACTCAGAAGATTGAATTCTATGGAAGCGCCCAGCTAAACAGCCGTGATGCGCATGAAATCGAGGTTCAAATCAACCATTTATATGAAGAAGAGTTCCGTTATTACAATTTATGTGTGAATTAGATAATAACCCGGAATCTGAAAGTATCTATAGCGACTGACGCTTATGCATGAATAGAAAGAAAAAGGCTTTGACAGATTAAGTAACAGATAGATGGTGTGTCTAAAGTAAGTAATGGCTATCAATAATCAGAGACGAAGGACAAAACATACGAAAACTGTCACGTTTAAATAAAAATTCAGGGAATTCACGAAAACCTGAGGTGTAAATACAATAGCAAATAAAGTGAATGTCTGTTTATTTAAATACTTCGGAATATCACAGAATAAACATTACTATATACCATATGCTTAGAAATTATGATCAATAAACTGGTTACTGAATATTTACAAGTAGTATAAAATAATTGAGACAAAATAGATTGAGCAGGGAAAGTGAATATAGAGCATGCAAACGAACTTTACATGCAGTTTCTTTGAATCATGTTTTATGTATTAGCAAAACACCCATCTCCAGTTATAACTAAGAAATCTGCATTTGTTCGATGTTGTTATCAAGGTGAACATATATATATTAACTACTAAATAACAAAGAATTCAATAAGAAGAAACAATGAAACATAACTTAACGCTATAACACCACCTTTTTAACCAAATAAATCATTTTAATAAATAATATTGCAACTATTGATGATAATGTATTTTTTTCGAAAAAAGATGCTATGCATTAAGATTAGTCGAACTAACCGCAAATTCCGGGATTTTAAATGCACTTCCTAGTACACGACTTCCATGATCGCAAACGCAAAGAGCATCTAGTTTTGAATGAACTTCAAGTAGTGCTCGACACTGTTCACTCCAAGCACTATATGGTACATGCACGGTCATATCTATTATTTCCTGAGAATGAAAAATAAACAATAAAATGTTAATAATATTACGTAATAAACGAAATCAATATTTTTTGCTTTTCAAGCAGCATATTCCGGTGGACATAAGAATAAACGTTTATTTAGGTGGCTTTTTCGACTAGATGGTTTCCACAATTTGGTCGACTTTTCCTGTAGGTCAACAGACAGATTTCATTTCATGTACTTGTGCTAAGCACTTGAGAAGCTTAGTTCATATCAATGCCAAAGGCTTCTATTTTACGCAGATACGCAGCAACATAGTCGATAGAATTTAAATCGATATATTTTAATAGACTATCAAATGAAACTAGTTTTAAAAACCTTTGAACAATCTAATTGTAATATGTGTATGATGCATGAAAGTGATTATTTCTTCCGATCATAACTAATGATAAATTTAATTGCTAATTCTTTGAAAAACAAAAGTGAATAGATTTGTTATAACTGCGAATTAAACCAGAAAAAAACGGAGATTCACATGATGGATAGAAGATAAAAAGCGATGTTAGACGAAATTTGTATACATTCACCAAAAACAATAATACAGTCATTTTAGTAAAACATAATCATTTATACACAAATTTTACTACTATTAAATAATTAATCTATGCATACTTACTTACTTGCTTACGCCTGTTATTCCCAATAAATCATAAGCCATAGACCACCAATCTCAAACCCACTCTGCCCTACTCATTCCTTTCTAGTTCTACCCAATTGTTATTCATTCTTCTCATGTCTGAATCCATTTCTCAACGTAATGTGTTCTTTGGTATTCCTCTTCCCCTTTCGTTAGTCTTGAGGATTACATGTGGGGGCTTGTCTTGTGACGCAGTTCGGTGCGATCCTCAATATGTGTCTTATCCACTTCCAGTGATTCTCCCTGATTTCCTCCTCCACTGGAATCTGGTTTGTTCTCTCCCATAGCAAGTTGTTGCTGATAGTGTCTGACCAACGGATCCGAAGTATTTCGTGTAGACAACTATTAGTAAACACCTGTAACTTCCGGATGATGACTTTCGTAGTTCTCCAAATTTCCACCACATACAGTAGAACTGTGTCGACATTTGTATTGAAAATTCTGAACTTGGCATTGATTGGTTGACAGACAGTTGTTTTGAGTTCCAGATTTTCTTCAACTGTAAATGTGCTGTTCTTGCTTTGCCGATCCGCGCCTTCACATCTGCATCAGATTCACCGTGTTCATCAATGATGCTGCTCAGATATGTCAAGGCTTTTACATCTTCCAAGTTTTCTCCGTCAAGTGTGATTTAGTTGTTGCATTCTGTGTTTTATCGGAGAATTTTGCTTTTCCCTTTGTGTATATTGAGACCCACTGCTGCTGAGGCTGCTGCTATACTGGTGGTGGAGTGAGAGTAAGCAACCTTGCCTGACACCGTAATTTATTTCGAACGAGTTTGTCAAATGTTCTCATCATTTGTTCCTACTACTTAAATTATGTATGATATTCATTTTTTAAGTAGTAGGAACAAATGATGAATATTATGCTTAATCAATTAATAATCTCTAGCTTGATCCCATCCTAACACAATTTATGAATCGTGTTAAAGCTTATTAATCTGGTTTAATATTAAGCTTTGCTGATTATTCTGTATATATGTTGTACAGCTTATTTTCATTGTAAGATACCAAACACTAGAGTGTAAAGTGTGAATACTAATATCAAGTTATGTTCATGATAAAAATTTGAGTCATAGTCAACCTCATCATTAGTTTTCATAGTAATTTCAAAGGTAATTCATCAAATAAATCTAAGTAATACAGAACATAAATGGATTTTATCATTCTCTTTATCAGTTATAAGTAGCCTAAATATTCAATTCATAATATGGTTCAAACCAAATAATCAACATTATTCTTATGAATGAAGTTTGACAAAAATTGGTAATCAAACACCTAATCAGATTGATAAAACATATCACCTACACATATAAAACAACATTATGCATTATAGAGGAAGAATGTATTTATAAAATCTCAGCGAAAGAATTTGAAGTAAATCCAACGTTTCATCTGGCAATCTGGTCCAAGCTTTTTCAAGGAAATATATCTTTAATGTCTCGCATTAACTCGGTGCCCAAATACTGTGAAACTATTATGTATTATAGTTGAAACTAATATATAGTGATTCACTCACTTTTATACATAGAATTCATTCTTTTCTAATCATGTAGTGAAATTATGTAATTATTACTTTGTTTGATAATCACTATTCATCTTATCTGCCTTACTTTACGTGGTTAGATTTTGTATTCTTATGTAATAATCCTCCATCATTTTATGTCTTATTTTGAATTTCTGTCTTAACTTTCCTAAACGAAGTATATCAATCTTACGGTTTATTTAGTATCTGGGTAGAACTGAAATTCAAGACTTGTGTTTCATTCCAGTTAGTATTTGTCAACTGGATGACATGAATCCCACTGTTGATATTCATACCAATACTTAAACCCAGCCTCTGTCGCTTTAAGCATCAACTCACTATCCAATAAACTGAAGAGTTCAGTTAGCCATCACCATGTTCAACGTGCATGAAAGTATCTATAAAGGTTTTGTAATTTTAACCATTTCACTTTCATCCTGTGAGTTGTTGTTACTGTAAATTATTTAAAGATAAACAAGAATAAATTATACTTAGACCAATTCTGGTCTAAGCCATGTTGATAGATGCAGACTACTTAGTTGGGGTCCGAGTGACTGTCGTAACCAATGGTTGGTGACTCTTGGTGCCATGGCTTAGAATCGATCACATTGGTGTAGATGTATACACTCCCTGTCTTCCCTTAAGCTAAGAGATTAAAATCAATTCATACCTTTCTTTAGACCAACTAATTCATTCTTCCTGTACTATATCCTTATACACAATCTTTCTTTTATATATTACCACCATTGACTTAACTACTCCTATGAATCCGGTGTTCATCTTGCTGTGATAATGAGGTATGGCAACTTGGACCGATGCATGCATGTGCCTGGTCCTACGTTGTAGCTGATGGACTGACTGATTATTATACTCTATAAACCTTGTTAATGATTTCCTTCTGTTAAAAATAATTAAAGAAACTAAGTGTATAACAGTGTAAGTTTCAGAAAAAATGTAGTACACAAATACTAAATAATCACCGTAGAAAACTACGTATTGATGGAATGATGGAGAAGAAATCTATAGATTTCTACCTAGATAAACGCTGTGTATACATTTTTCGAGCTCAAAAGAAAAAGGTTTTTCCAAGAAGGTAAAAACCAACAAAATTTAGAGTTATTTGATTTTCAAACTATGATCAGTAGCTTATTTAAATAGGATCGGCAAAGCAATAGCAGTATATTTACAGTTGAAGAAAATCTGGAACTCAAAACAACTGTCTGTCAACCAACCAATGCCAAGTTCAGGATTTTCAATACAAATGTCAACACAGTTCTACTGTATGTGGTGGAAATCTGGAGAACTACAAAAGTCATCATTCAGAAGATACAGGTGTTCATTAACAATTGTCTACACGAAATACTTCGGATCCGTTGGTCAGACACTATCAGCAACAACCTGCTATGGGAGAGAACAAACCAGATTCCAGTGGAGGAGGAAATCAGGGAGAATCACTGGAAGTGGATAAGACACATATTGAGGATCGCACCGAACTGCGTCACAAGACAAGCCCCCACATGTAATCCTCAAGGCTAAAGAAAGGAGGAGAGGGATATCAAAGAACACATTACGTTGAGAAATGGATTCAGACATGAGAAGAATGAATAACAATTGGATAGAACTAGAAAGGAATGAGTAGGACAGAGTTGGTTTGAGAATGGTGGTCTTTGACCTATGCTCCATTGGGAATAACAGGCGTAAGTAAGTAATTAAGTTATTTAAATAAGTAGCTGAATTGTTGATCGAAATTTCAATTTACAATATAAAGTCGTTATTAATTAATACAATCTATATATAACTGGCTTTTTGTTGCTAATTTCTATCATATTGAAAAATTAATGAAACTTTATGAATTCACAATAGACATTAGACTGAAAAACCATTTTATTATTATGGATAAGATTTGTTGTTTGCATAAAGCAATGGATGAATTCACATAACTTATCTACTGATGCATATCATGATCAAAGTATGATTAGAAAAACAATCACACGCTTAGATAAACCAGCTTCATAGTAATATATAAGTGAAATGATTTAACTTTACAAAACAAAACAATCGTCTAAAGATTGAGTTAGAGTATTAGGGACCATTAAATGATACAGTAAAATTAAATCAACTCAGAAATTTCTAATTTGTTATACAAACAGTTTTCATGTAAACTGAATATAGAATAAATAGAAAGAAGTTCACTTGGTATTATTTTACTTGAATCTTCTCATTGATGTTTAGGACTGCAATTGATCAGTCATTTGTTAACACATGTGCATCCTGTGAGGATTACCTCGATATTGCCTTAATTCACAAGCATTATAAACAAAAACGCATGGTGGCTAGCAGTGGAATCTAGGACGCGCGTTTCGTTCTATTTAGTATTCGTCAGCTGGATGTACCTGTATCTCAGAGTTGGTGATCACTTCGGGACTCTAACCCAGTACCATTCGCTTCAAACGTCATCACGTTATCCACTTAGCTTATGGCCTGTTCCGATTATGTTTAGCAATAGAGGATGATGGCTGTTTATCCTCTAGTCTTATTGTGTTACTTGGTTGTATTTGTTTCTGCAACCATTTTGGTATATGTTCATATACCCTAATTTTGAGATCACGATTGCTCCTCCCTATGTATGTGTGACCACACACATTTCAATTGGTAAACACAATGGGATGTGACACAATCGTTTTCATGTCAATTAGGTTTTGGATGAAGCATGCACCTTGTTCTTTCTTTGATAATGACCTTTGCTGTGTAATACGTTTTGTTGATGACTGATTTAAGCCTTTGTTTCAATAAGAGGCTATTTGAATTACCTCTGAATGGTAAGG